GTTACTTAGCTCTACATTCTCTACTTCCATTTGCTACTAAGGTACATTAAATTAATTATTGTGCGTGTTGTTTATTAATTTTGAAATTAAAATTTATTAGTTTACCTAATGATTTTGATTCACTTCTATAAAGTTGTTAAAACCAAACAAGGATCAATGTGGATTTTTTTTTCTAGAATGTTTAAATAATTATATACTATGTAACTTTCTTGGTAATTAAACAAAAAGAATCAATGTGGAATTTTTTTTTTTTAACAACATTATTTCTCCTAATATTTTTCATTAATCTTTTGTTTTGTTTTAGAAAGACAAAAATTCGATTGTCGAAAAAGGAGTGGATGAGATTATTAAATTACAAAGATTAAAGAAAGAATTAGAGAGAAAACTTCAAATGCTAGAGGCAAAATCAGCAAAAGATCATGATGATGCATATGATATGAGTGGAACAAAGGTTAAAGTTAATCTACAAGAACCTTTGTCTGGAATCGATTCAATGTTAGAAGTTCTACAATGTATTAAATCAATGGGGACAAAACTCAAAACTGTCCATGCTAATTTTTCTAGCCACGAGTTCTCTGCGACCATGAACATCGACACTCAGGTAAGTGTTGCATTCTTCTTTTCAATTGTTTGGATTTTTTTTTCCTGTTTATGTTATGATATTAGAGAAACCAACTGAATAATCAAATATCATTTGATTTGGTTTCTATTGTTATATACATATAGGTAGGTTGTTTTGTGTTTGTCTCATTATTTAGATTGTTTTTAATATTTGTGTCATGATATTATTTAGAGACTAAATTTAATTTTTGGCAGATAAGAGGAGAAGAGGTGGAGAAGAGAGTGGAGAGAAGACTCCAGGAAACTGAATGGAAACTTCTCTTTCTCCCAGAAGCTTCCTTTATCAAAGACTAATGTGTTCCTTTGTGATGACTTTCTTTCATTCATTTTTTTCTAATTTACTTGTATAGTTGTATATATATAAATTAATTGAGCATTGCTTTGTTGACTACTAGAGAAATCAATAATTTGGGCACTACTTTTGAGTTTTGTCTCTACTGAATGATTCAGTTTGAATTAGCGGGATGTATATTATTGCAAGTTACATTTACTTTCTTCTACATATCATATGAAGTTACTAGTTTGACCAAAAAAATAAATAAAATCATATGAAGTTACTACAAATTTAAGTGGGTAATGTTTTTGTTAATGGCAAATCAAACAAAAAAAAAAAAAATTACTAGGGCTAGCTCCTTCACTATTTTCTCAGAAATATCCCGAGCTCTTTTTTTATGCTAAATAAAATTCCCGACCTCTTTAGGTTTTTTTTTCCGTGTGATGGTCCTCTACTTTTCTCAGAACTTGGTATTTGTGCTAAAAAATTGATTAATTTGTTATCTGAGAGAAAAAAAATGTATTTCTAGATGAGACAAGAAGACAAACAATGGATTAATCAACCTCAACTACCTATAGTC